CCCGCTATTTTCAGACCCTGGATATTATCCCAAAGCTCGAAATTGCTTCTTCACCTAACCGATACGCTCATCACAAACTAGCTCAGGTGGGCGCAATTTGGCCCGGACAGGCGCAGTCTAGCCCGCTGTTTCCCAAATAGCAGATACTTTGGAAACAACTAATATTTCTCGGGATATCTTCTGGACCAAATATCCCGCTAATTGCAACTCCAGGCTGATGAGGACGCAAACTAGCTCGATACTTTGCGATCGGGATAGTTAAAATAGCGGGTTATTTGACAAACTCGAGCTGATGAGGACAGGCCTAAAGAGTGGGCGGGAGGAAGAGATTTTAGCCATCGGACAAGGACAACCGATCTCTATTGATTGTCAAGAAAGCTCTTCAAACTCTACCTGCATGGGCAGATGGTAGGAGTTTTTTACTGCGGGATGGAGGGAGGAAGGTGCATGTACATGTACCTTGGCTACATGGAGATATTAATATTGATGTTTTATTAAAGAAAAAAATCTGTCCAAGAGTTGAAATATTAATTGCTTGTGAAGATGAGATAGATCTTCTAATGCGGTAGGGCCTATACATATGGTTGATTTTTTGAAAGGTGCATGATGCTAAATTTTGTATCTCTTACATGTACATGTATTAAGTGCGATCAATTTTCAATTTTTGTTTATGTGATCCAAATTTACATTTTGTATGGATGTGAAAATTGTGAACGTAAATTTTTTTGACAGTAGTAAGCTTTTGAAAAATTATTCAAATTTGACTCTTCCTAAATGTAAGGCCCTCATGGAGAATGTTTTGTAGGCCTATAATATATGTACATGTACACACAAACCTGTCTACTGAGGCCACCCAAGGGAAACACAGAAAGTGGCCACTGTAGACAGGTGGCCTTTATAGACAGGTTCTACAACATACATTTCCTTCTACAAAATGTAGAGGGAGCCACTACCTGTGACCACTATAAGACAGGTGGCCTTTATACAAAGGTGGCCACTAAAGGCAGGTTTGACTGTACTATACAAAAACTTCATGAGCGATCACAGTGCCATTGTGATCATACAGTACATCTACAAAACTTGTAATGTAATTTTTCTTTCGGGCTGGCATTTTGCAGTTGTTCTAATAAAACCATTCTACTACTACTACATGTCCCACTTACAATGTACATGTATTCAATCACAATAACAAAATCAAATATTGATAAAGAAATAGACCGTGAATCTGGGAGAACATCTTTTTTTTTCAAATCAACGGTACCATCATCGCCCCTACACTTTGTGTACATTGTATACTGTATTATGACTTATTATGAAAACTGGATTGAGTATATAAAATGGGTATTGCTAAAGACACAAGTAACCCAACAGATTTTCAAATTGATAATGAACGAACCCATCGTAATGACTCCATTTTAATGAGGTCTTTCATTTTAACCTCGCTCGATTTTCATCCCACAGTACGTGAAAGGTTTACGTGGGTGGCAGGACTCAAAGGCTGCCTTAGTTGAACTACTTTTTCAGGCCAGAAACCTTTTCATGCGACTCGATTTAATTCAGGGTGGCAATTCAGCCATTTCTCGTGGGTGAGCGATTTCCATGGAAATAGGCCAGAGAGGTTCGGTAAAATGACAGTTCTCCTTGTTCATGGTTTTGTATGCTTGGCATTGCTTGCAAAGTGTTTTAAAGGGCAGAATTATAAACGAGATGTACATGTACATGTAACTATTGTTCGTAAGGCCCAAAGCTTTAATGAAGGATTTTTCCAATAGGGATGGCATTTAAGTCTACAGTGATGTACACGTGTATATTCGGCATACTGTAACTCCAATTTTCATACCGTTTACTTGAGCTAAAGAAAGGATGTACTATGAACTTGCAATGTACTTGTTGTGCTCACTTAAAACAGACTTTTTTGTTGTTAATAGAAGCATTAATCAATTTTGCCATTTCCCATTTCCCATGGTGCAGTTGTTATATCAGATATTTTCTTTAAAATTTTTTTTTGCATACAGGTATTTATTTCATCTACGCTTGATACTTTCAGAGCTAAATCGCGTGCTGCTTCAAGTGATATTTTAAGATTATATCTTCATGTTTGTACATGTACATGTATTACTGTTTCTATATCTCAATTCAAATCTTTTAGTACACGTACAAGCACAGTATCACACACATACATTTACATTTACACACCAACACACACAAATGAGAGAAAAATAGAGTAGAAAGAAATGAAAGTAGAAAAGAAAAAGAAAAAAGAAGTGCATGTACATGTACCTACTCAGCCATGGATATATCATTCTTTGAAAAATACCTTTATTTGTTCATTGATTTAAATCTGGTAATTGTAGTACAGGATCTATTAAAGGAATGAATTCTTCTTCTTCTTCTTCAAGATAATCTGCCTCCTTCAATACTGAAGATTCTTGCAGATGCCGTATACTCGGCCTGATTGGGGTGTGCAGGTGGACCATTACACCGGGGTTTCCCCCTTCTCTTACACGAATAGTGCAATGGGTTCTTAACGTGCAAGGGTGGTGACTCTCCTGTACACGGGGCCTCCATTTAACGTCCTATCCGAGGGACGGAGTGTTTTCCACTTGACATAACCTGCGTCTATGAACAAGGGAAGGGGCACAACGCAGACTTCAGTCATCCGCCTGGATGGGAGTCGAACCCGGGATCTTTGGTTCGACAGGCAGACGCTTTACCGACTGAGCCAACTCGCCTCCTTCAATTCAATGAATTCCGTTCACATACCCCAACAAATGATCTATATTATCTCTTGTTATTTTATCTCTTCCGGCCGTAAACAGACCATATACATGTACAGTGTGAATAATGTACATGTACATGTACATGTATCTTACAGAATTCTGCTGATTATCCTACAGTGTATACATTTGGACATTCAAGTCATCAAATAGGTGATTCTATGCAATGTATCATGTACGACATGTCATATTTTGTATTTATTTCCATCCAAAAATGAAAGATCTCTTAATTGACATGACCATTTATTTGTTAGTGATCTGAGAAAGAAGCTTTAGTCAATGGCCCTATCAAGTGATTTTCATTTTAGGATGAAAAAAAAAGACCATTTTAAAGTGATAATAATAATATATTCCACTTTACATGTACATGTACATCTACATTGTGTCTAAGCACTTTACAGATATACTATTTTACCCCGGTCATTGGATTTAATACTTCCCTGCCCACACTGTGTGCTCTATCGCCACTCCCTGGGGAGCAATATCAGCCAGGTGTTACTTGAAGCTCAAAATACCAGAAAGAATCATTAATGGGCGTATCAAGACATTCTTTATTTTTGGATGAATCATGTCGAGACACATTGTACAGAATCCCTCAAATATGCTTACCCTTTAAAAAAGCTGAATTAAGTCAATTTTGACAATCGCCTAGAGGTCACGTTTAAGCATACACACAGAAGAATCAGCTGACACGGTATATTTATTCAGCCATGAAATTGTTATATTGTAATCCGAGCTTCACGTCATATTGCAATGTCATTCCAAACTTGCTCAAATAAATATTTGCGGTTTGAGGTAAAAAGAAAAAAAAGTTGTGGGTATTTAGTTGTTGTTGTACTGGTGTATCAAGAGATGTGCACAGTATCTAGTGTAAATAGAGTTCATATACATGTATATCTTCACTTTTGAGCTTTCCAAAGTACATTGTACATACTGTATCTATCTATATTTGAGAATTATTACTATAAAGTTTGAGATAAACCACCATTTGTCACAGATAATATTCTCATGTACATATGACAGATGTACATGTGTACCCAGACGTTGTGTGTCAGGAGACGTGATTTAAAACTATAATTTGAAGAAGTTTACACACAATATTCCATAAATCTCTTATAAGACATACATGTTTGTTAGACAATATTATGAAAGATACATTTGATGATGGTTAGTGCTATTTGATGTGGATACATTTCGTCAAATTCAAAGGCAAAAGTGTTGACTTTATTTTTGTTATAAGCATGAGGACACACAACCCCTCTCCACCCCCCCCCCCCTACCGTATCTGAATATGCAATACATTGCACAGTAAAACTGTGTTAGAATAGTAGGTCAATGGTTTAATAGATGCTGCTTTAACATGTACATTTGTAAGTATCGGCTTGCATGGTGATGTAGACATACCGTCTCTATTTTCACGAAGTGACTGTAATGAGGAAAATGAGGACAATTTGCGTGACGATTTTCCTCACTACCGTCACTTCGTGAAAATAGGGACGATACACAGTAGGCTTACGGATGCACCATTTGAGAAAGGGGCTCCCCAATCCTCCCCCCTCTCTCACATGGTGCAACCGTAAGCCTACTCTGTATGATACAGTGTTGTTGTTTTGGAAGTCTTTCGGAAAGAATCAAAACAAAGGGGGCTGTGGTAATGAGAGATAATTGGCGCTAATTGAGCAGTCCCGATGATGGTGTTAAGATTCACCTATCATCGAGCTAAGTCAATTCAGACTATGATCCTAATATACTTCGTCAGCTGCTTGTTATTGTGTGCGGACTATTACAAAAATATGCATGTAAATATTGTTATGTCATGCTGTATTAAATGCTCCAAGCTGTGGATGAAACGTGGAAATAAACTGAATAACATTGATTGTGGTGGTTATTTTACCTGACTGCTAAGAGAGCATAAATGCTTGGAAGTAAAAGCAACCAGACGGCCGACGGCTTTAGGTCCTCTTTGAGTGACCTGGTAATGAGGATTAATGCCTTACCAAAGGGCACTAGCGCATCGACTTGGTTTCGAACTAGGGTCATCGCATAATATGAGACCACTACTCTACCGACTGAGCTATCGTGCCTCCTCAATGTATCTGCTACTTGGAATTTAAAATCAAATTTTTAAGTTGTTTAAGACAAATTGCCTTCTTATTTCTCTGACTTGTACAATTATATTTTTCTTTGACTGTGTAATTCACTTAATTATTTGTTTTATCCTTTTTATTTTGTTATCCACAGACATGGGCATTGTGATGAGATAGCAATCACCATCGAGTCTGCTCAGCCCACCGCCACTACTCTGTTCATTTCCTCGGCCAGAACATCCTCCTCCAACGGCCCTATCATCACAAGGAGAGACCGGTAATCATTCTCAGCCCTACCCCCCTCCATTCGCGTCCACCCTGTGCGTGGCCGGAAGCTGCAGGTGAAATTGATCACCAGGCATCCAAAACCAGAGACGTCGGGTTCTTGGAGGTGCATGCACGCGGAGAAAAGAACAGAAGCCAAATAGGAAACGGCAGGAGAGATATAAAGAGTGGGAGAGAAGAAAGGAGAAATTGAGGAAGACAGCAAGGGCTCTTGAAGAAAGTGAAGAGTATTTGAACTGTCTGTGAAGAACCAGGAGTTGCCATGGCAACACAGAACGGTCATACCAGCGTCCACGTCTCAGACACCCAGACGTGGGAGAGGAACAAGAAATACACGGTAAGAGCTAGCGCTGTAAATGTATTAAAGATAAAGGTGAGTTGTGGTTTTAGAAAAGAAAATGAATTCTCACAGAATCAAACGAAACTTACACTGAATGTTCAAGATGACAAATAAATGTCATTTGCCAAACAATTTTGTTAGAAAATGTATACTGGCTGAGTAATGAGCATAGAAAGATTAGGAAATCAAGGTGAGTAGCCCCGACACCATTTGTGTAGTCCCATATACATCCTTCTGTGTGCAGTGCTTGTTACTTTACCAAGACTGGGCCAGATTTATTATTTAATTTGATAACTCCAGAACTTTGCAGTACACACCAATACTGACTGCTACATGATCAACTTTTCTGATCCATTCCACACTTTTTCTCTCACAATGCAATCGGGTGACCAGAACTCACCGTTATCTTTAAGATGGAGAAAGATGAACAATCCTAGATGGAAAGAGAATATTGTTCAAAACAATACAGTGCTGCAAGCGTTCAGAAGCTGAACAAAAAGTGATTTTCACCGCTTCCAGGTTTACGAGTCATCTCTGCACTCTTGCAAACAAAGAAAAATATATCAAAGAAATAATTTTCAAAAAGAATTTAGATGTACATTTGCAAGTACATGGAGGCAAAACTGAAATAATTGATAAAGTCTAAATATTTAAGTAAATACAAGTACTTACAATGTACTGGTTGGATTTCAATTATATACATACATGTATATCATGTAAACATAATGTGCATGTACAATAGCTACAAGTACTGTATGTCATGTTATTGAGTTGTAGATGCGTTTCCCACATCAATACAGTATGTTCCAAATACACTTACACTCTGGTGCCAAGCTTGCTTGCAGTGACTCTGTAGCCACAGGATGAATGCCCACATGGGGCGGGCTGAATGTACAACTGCATAATAACACTGGACATAGATTAGACACTCTATCCTCTAGAGTTACATGTACATGGCTAGCATCAACAGTGGCATCAGGGGAGTGTTTCACAAAGACTAAGATCGACTTCAAGTTGGACTTAACTATGGCAGGCCGTTCATGCCACTGTTTGCTCTCATCGTTTACTGGCATTGGTCTTTCAAAGGACATACAAATTATGGTCACAAGTCTACAGAATTTATATTTTTTGATAATGCATTATTGAAGGAAATAACATTATCGAAAGTTGTTAATGGTGAGAGAAAACAGTGGCATGAACGGCCTGTCATAGTTAAGTCCAGCTTAAAGTTGATCTTAGTCTTAGTGAAACACCACCCAGGCCTACCACCAAAGCTCATCCTCTCCCAACGACGACGGGGTGTCCATTAGGATGAGTTGGCATCTCTGTCAGTATAGGGTGCATCTTTTACCACTCAGAAACAGCATTTCTATTCATACATATAGAACCCTACTTCAAGTACACTGTAGACGAACGAGACTTGCGGGATGTCACGTTTATCAACTCGTCACGATTCAAAATAAAGGCCTTGTCTCTGCGAAACTGCTTTGCGCTTTTGCGCCGTTTGACCCGGGAAGAAGAGAGTTGCTCGGAGGTCAAAACAAGCTTGCGTTTTATATCGCCATGCAAATTTTCCCTGAAACACGTTTGAAAACGCTGATTCTAGGCCAGAAAAGGGATGATAAACGCACCCATAGTCTGTCAAACCCATTATGTGATGCGAGGACGTCCCTCGGCGTGAGAGGTCTTGGGTAACACATTACAGTCGTGACTGCTGCATTCATGCCCTTAACCCAGTTTGTCCCTTGTCCGTCCATCCTCACCTACCGCCCCCTTCTGCAGTACAGGCCTCTCGTCATCATTTACATGTATGCAGTTCAGTTGATGTGATGGCTCAATTATATACACCAAGATATCACATTTAGCTTTAAACATGAGCAAACTGTCCATGTATATATTTTGCTGGCCTGTTATGAGTGCCTTTGCCCAGGTAAAAGGCCTAGTGTTTGAGTATGTACAGTATGGGTAATAAACATTCCCAAGGGTATGCATCCTTTAAACTAAGAAACTGGGCTTGTTTAATGTTCAAGAGCATGGCTTTTGTTTTGTATGTGTACATGTACTTAACAATATACACATCTTTCCAGAAAAATATAAAAAAAATAGAAATTCTGCTAACAAAAGGAAAGGTGCTGCTATGGGGTTCATGAGCATGAACTTGTTTAAGCAGATTGCCTACGGTAATAGACAGATTTACTATTTATTAAAGCTTATAATGTATACTTTTAAAAATAATGTTTGGTCTTGACAACCCAAAAGCTTGCCATAGTCTTTCCCGACTGGATTCCAATTTATTTTAGTTCATTCATTAATAACGGGTTAACGGAAGAAGTTGTCACTAGGTCCCCAGGAAAGAAATATCCATAAATTTGAATATGTTTAAGTAAACCGGTCTATTTTGCTCGCAAATGCTCAAAGATTCTCTCAAGCCAGAATTTCCCCTGTTCGTGCTTCCATCGACAGAAATGTTCTTTTTATTTTATTTTATTCTATTTTTTGATCGTAAAGTAAGCATCGACGACGACGGAGGGGCTTTGTGCCATTTCCGACACCGTCTGACCGATGAAATTTCACACCCAGGGCTCCAATTAAACCACAGGTCCCCGTGATGACGAGATTAGGGGCAGAGAAACATGCAAAATACTTGACTGCATCATAATCTCGGAGGCGACATGGCCTTCTCGATCCGCGCCTCCGACTCTTGAATTGAAGAGAGAGAAATATATGGAGAATCTTGGCCTCATCAAGCATCGCACTTCATCTTAAAGATGAAGTGGAGTTTTGGTCGTGCGATCTGTTGCACTGTGAAAGAAATTTAAAGCAAATGAGGAAGGTTGATTATTCAGTACATACGTGTACATACGTGTAGAAGAGGTGTACAATGTGATATTTGGGAATCAAAATCATCAAACTTATAAGAAATTTACTTAATTTTGCTGAAAATCAATGTACTGCACATTTAGAATTGGTTATATGGGATGATACTCACTTGTAGCATAAAAGTTCCGTCAAGAATTCATAGAGCTGTGATGTTCATCACATGTAGAATGTGAGGGCATATAAAGAGCAATCCTTTTCAGGGGACATTGCTGCTTTTATGTTTCTTCTATTAAAAGTCTAAACTGACATTTGAAAAATAAGAAGAAAGCTTACAAAATATTGTCACCTGTACTGGAACTCATTCTTTGCTTTAAATGTATTCACACGAATGGCATCAACCTCGGGCTCTTGATTTAATTTTGTGCGAGTTAATGTCATTAAATGTTCACTGCCTCGTGCAAGAACATCCCCAAGGCCATGCCACTGTATCCCTGTCAACTCAGAGAGAGAGAGAGAGAGAGAACAAAAGAGAGAGAGAGGGAGGAAGGGAGGGGGAAGGGAGTGAGAGGGAGAGGGATGAAGGGAGGGGAGGAAGGAGGGAGAGAGGGAAGAAGGGAGAGAGGGAAGAAGGGAGAGATGGAGAAGAAAAGACAGAGAGACAGATAGAGAGAGAGAGAGAGATAGGGAGAAGGAGGTAGAGAAATAGAGAGAGGGACAGGTTTAGGGGGAAGGGAGGGAGAGAGAGATCAAACTTGTACTCGAAAGAAGGGCAAAATACTTGGGGCTCGTAAAAGCTGCCTTGAATTTATTAGAACAATTTATTCCTGAAAAGAGCACAGATTCTTTTCAAATAAATTCTAACCGCCCACCCCACGCCGTCTTCTATTATAATGAAATAGTAGAATCGAGCTCCGAGTGAAATCAGGTTTTTGTATTGGTCCGCTAGCTATGACTTTCACTCGGGGGAGGGGTTAGTTCAAATAAACCACCGATTTAAAATAAAGTCAAAGAATAAGAGCGCTGGGACACGATATAGTATTTAAGGTGTCATATATGTTTATTTACCAATCACTGACTTGTATCAACTATTCTTCTAACAGTATTTATTATCAAACAATGTCATCAAAAATAGTATCAATAATCCAGAAGATCTCTGTCTTCTCTTCAACATACATTCATATCAAAATACACCTTAAGCTAAAATACACTTTAAAAGCCTTAACTTGTACGAGATTAGATGTGGGTACTACCAATACCTCAATTACATTGTCATCTAATGTTTGTTTATTTAGTTCCGTTATTGCACGTAAAGCAAGGGTACTACTAGCGAAAGCACAGTGAGCATTACCGGTGCTCTCGCCGGTTAAAGAATCTTTGCCAAAGTTTAAGTGGGACACTTCCCCAATCTTCTCTAAAAATTCTCTGAGACTGCCCTCAGTAGTTGAAGGACTCAATCCCTTCACCAGAACAACACAATCTCCCTTAACAGAAGCCATTGTTTAAAGAAGTAAGGAGGGGGGAAAAAAGTATGAAAGAAAAATAAAGAGGTAGAAAAGGAATAGATCTTAGGAAAAACAACTATAAGATTATTAAAGCTACAACAGAAACAAGAACAGTCTAGTCCCTATCTGCGATATTGACTACGGTATATGTAAACACAAGAATAGTGACTTAACAAAATCGTATAAACCAACGCTAAGCGGAAAATATAACACTCTGCCAATCACTAGCAAGCAAATCTGTTTCAGCAACACATACACTCAAGTCCAGTCACCCAAAATATTCAACCATTCGTCAGATAGTGTGGTGATATCAGATGATCAGAATGTAATTTCTTCCCAAATAAATAGAGAACAAGGTTAGCATCTAATTAGAAAATGATTTGCAATATATCATAATGGGATATCATTAATTTCCGAACCAATTAACTATTCCTCTGCACACATGAAATATAATAACACAATTCAAATGATATAAAATATTATCAACTAAAAGGAAACAAGGTCACTATTAGGGAATGTACGTAAAAGCTAAACTTCATGCCCAAGCGCTGAACTTGACCAGGAAAATCATACCAGTCTTTCTGGAAACCTGCAATTATTATTATTTAAAAAAAAGTTTCTTATGAATTTGGAGAGCTTTTAAAATCGTGCTGATAACGCGGAAATAAGGTTGTG